CAAAGTCTGGAGCCGCCATTCCACTCATCACTATGCCCTCGTGCCGGATCAGCGAGCGACTATGCCGATATCATATTGACAAACTCAGGTAGGACATTTCTGCGTGCTGCTCGCAGATGGTCGGTGTCCATACAAGGACCACCGAGACATCATATACAATGGTACAGCTTATTCGAATGAAGAACAATGTTGTTAGGTCGTGTCAGAGTGTCTGCCTACGTAGCACTCTGAAGCACTCACGTTTCATAAGGCAGGTAATCTTCATCCACGGTGGCTGGAATTCTGAGTAGGTTGAACTCCTTAGTTTGTTATGCCTTTGATAGGCATGCCAATCGCTTCCCTAGATACGCTTACGCTAGCGCTCACAATTTCTTTGTACGTCTATTGCCTCTAATGACGAGAGATTCCGTGCACATAGTGCACCCGTTACTTGTACTATGTTGTCATTATTCATAGTTGAGAGAACCACCATATAGGTGGCAATGGCAGGTATGATGAGTGATAATGGTTGGTTCTTGTCGCACAATTTTGGGAGCCCTCGATCGACAAGGGCCACGAATCGGATGATTTGGTAACAGAAGTGCCTGATTTCTAGCGCTAAGATTGCTCGCCGTTTGTCAGGTTACCATCAACTACACGTGCGGAAAGCACGTGGGCCGAGTGCGTAGAAGAAGAACAGGCGGCAATATTGAGCTTGACAGCGAAAGTTGCAAATGATTATTTTGCACAAAAAAATTCCCGCAATATACATACCGGAGAGGTTTGCTGATGTCCTACTAAAAATGAAATGCAGCTGACCCTCCCTGGTGCGGAACCCATCCTTTATGGCGGTAACCTCCCATCCTTTAGGGCGGTAAATTAGCACCAGAAGACTCGCCGTGCACGAAATTATCACAAGGATGCTGAGTTATGGGCAAAAGCTCAAACTGCAGGCGAGTCTCGAACCTGCATCCTCCCACCGGAAAACTACTTTTATCCAAGACGCCACTAGGGCCAATCTCCTCTGTACGATGGCTTTTTGAGGGATAGCTAGCTTTCGGAACACGAACTGCGGCACCGCTTAGCTGTTAACACACTGACACAACTTGTAAAACATTCGGCTAGCCGGCTTATCACCTCAAACTTATGGATGCTGAGAGGGTAAGCCGTGGCGTAGTTGGTAGCGCAATTGCCCGGTCACAGGATGCGGGTTCGAGTTTCGCCTGGTGTCTACCTTTTGCCCATAATGCAGTATCCGTCTGCTAACTGACTTGCACGTTGGTTGACCCCCGCAAGTCACTGTATAGTCCATCCGAATTCATTGAGCTACGAATATTTTGAAAGACGTCTACGTGCCGCCATTCCTGAATTACAACACACAGTTAATTGTTGGCACGTTTGCATTGAGTGGGAGCCCGGAAAGCTTTCGCAGTGAGGAGAGAGACCATGGCTAGCCACGCGAAGCAGAGAAAACGATGAACTAACTGTTGTACGTCCTCATCAAATTCTGAACCAACGTGGATGCCGAAAGCGAAAGACAGAAATGTACGGTTCCCCGGTATTACTCGCTCATGAAGTGAAGACGAATCGTGCGAGTAAAAACAATGGTTTACCACCTGGAGCTAATGACCCGGTTTCTGATCATTGCTCACGGACAACAACAGCGAGCAGTCGGCAGTCGCGGAAAGGAACTGCAAAAAGTGCAATCTTCGATACATTACAGCGCAACTCCCGAGAGGTGGTTCTTTGACGTTACAGTCCGCTACCATTTTAGCGGTGACATGTATAAATCACCTTGCTGCCACTATGTTTCCATAATACTAGTGATGACCAACTCATCCGGCATCTTTCCCATTCACATCGTCTTGTGCCATGGTCCTTCGATGATAGCTTCACCGCTTTTGGAACATTGTCTCTGCTCAAACACCTCTCTGTTTCCTTGAGTGACTTTTCAAGAGAGCAACCCTAATCGTGGATTTGGTGATCCTTGTAAGGCTGTCCCAGAAGCCTTGCAGGACATCAACGTGAGGTTGAATTGCATATTTATTCATAGCACCAGACTCATCACTCTCAATATCCTGAACTCCTGCACAGCTCACGAGCACCTTTTCTGTTGTGCTCTCACAGGATTGCATCTGCTGGGTCTTAAGAAGCTGTCGGTTTCGCTTTCAAGTCGATGACCACTGTCCAATTTTGTCTTCTCTGAATGATGCTCTGAGAACCTGAGTAGGGCCTAGACAACGCCTACGAACAGAGGAGTCGAGTTCAGAACACAGAAATCCACTTATAGAAAGACGGGTTGAAGAGTGGCTAGATAGCTGGTTGCACGTCGTGAGCATACAGCGGTTGAATCTGTCGAGAGCAAGTGCTCGCACTCCCTGACCAAGACTCAGAATCGTTTGGAGCGCCATGTTCGCCACATTAGTATTAGGGTTTCCACAAAGTTCGTTGGCCATTCGTTTTTTCAGAGCTGGTAAAGATATCTCGTTGAACTTACCGGTCCATGATAACCGGTCCGCCATGATCTCATGCATTAGCATCCACCTTTCGCCCCCGATCGGGTAGAGAGGCAACTCCATCCTCTCAGAAGCCGGCCAGCCGCGACTCGCCCAAGTGTTCGATCACGTCCTCGAGGTCGCGCTCGTTCTTCAGCTGTTTTCCGTCCAGGAAGTTTCGCATGGACCGGAAGATGTGGTAATCGCATAGACTGATGTCCGGGCTATATGGTGGATGCGTGAACGTCTTGATGCCCAGCCTGTCCAGGACGGCCTGAGTATCTCTCGCTTTGTGGGGGCGCGCGTTGTCCCAGAGCAACCACGGATTTGCAAGTTTCTGGGACAAGGCGGCAGCTTTCACCTTGACCTCCTGTAATTCTTTAGAGAGGGTCTCTGCCGTCACTGTGGCATTGTTGGGTAGGGTGCTATAGTGGACGACGCCGTGACGAGAGAACCAGAAACCTCGGCATATCTTCGATGCCATAGTTTCCATTGGTGAAGCGAGTCCCCCATTTTGACATCCAGTTCTTAGAAAGGGTGTTAACTGCCAAACACCAAACTGCTGACGCATCCTGGTCGTGGCCTGACGTCTGGAGATGTCCAGATTGTAGTAGTCCGGCAACTATCACTCATCTTCATTGCTTTATTGTGGAAAGATCAGGAAAGGAAATTTAGAGCTAGCTAGCTCAGAAGATAGCCCATCGCGAGTACTTTCAGTATTGCGAAACCATTATGCAAAACAATAATAATTGCGTAACGCGACGCTGTTTACAAATGGCCGACGAACTTTGTGGACACCCTAGTATGTGTATTATTGTGATGACGAAAAGCGATTCGATTGCCTCGGAAGTTTACGCATCGTCCATCTTTTGAGGTTGGCTGGAGCAGAGTGTGGCTGTCACTGGTGTACCATTACCCGTCACCATTGGTTCGAATTCCCTAGAACTCGAAACCTTCTTCATGGGTATCTGTCTCCAGTTCTGTAGACGACGATTCTCCTTGAGAGACTCGGTGGAGCTTGCGGCGGAGAAGGAGATCCATCTCAAATACCTCGTAGGCGTCAGCGTCCTCCTTCACCAGAGTGATCTTTAACTCCTTCGACAACGAACTGTTGGAGTGGGGCTACTAACCTCTCAACTCTTCTTTGAAAAGCGTGGGATTGTTCAGTGAGCAGAATATAGCGTCGTGATGTGTAAAATAGTGATGCAGGTACTCTCCCCCCCCCTTTCCCAAACACCTACCTACCAATTTCCACACTTTCCGTTTTTTCACGCAAAAATTTTGCGTCGAGGGGGGGGGAGGGGGAGGGACATAGAGCACACACATGAAACAGGAAAGATCACACGAAAAGTCAACAATCAGGGAAGATTTTTTCAACCAACGCAGCAAATTGCTCTTAACATACGACTCCCCCCCCCTCTGCCAACGACCAATACGACCCGTCTGCTCAGCGGAAATGAACGACCCCCTACGTGTTTCACTTAACGATGCTGTGCCCTGTCAACGAAATCTCTGCACTCGAGAGAAGCGTTGAACTTCACGATCATTTTCATTCTTATCCAAAATTGGCGCCCTCGTTATAACTAGACTTATTGTAGGAAGCATTATGGGGATCCCAATCGCACTGACTCGGCATCTTTCTCCACAAGAGCCTAACGTAGCAGTGGACACCAAGTTTCGCCCGTTCGCGACTCCCAATGTCAAGCCGAACCGCACACCCATTTCTTCTATCTACGTATCGCGCAGGGACGGAGGCTCGAAGAAATGAGCGCTGTCGTGATCTAGTGTCATGAATATTACCGTTGATTATAAAAGTGAGGAGGTGCTCGTCCTCCCGCAGAGCCTAGAGGTAGTAGCCTATCACGTGCTGTACCCCTAAGACAACACAATTTCCAGCACATCCGACTCGTAGGTGTTGGCGAAGTAGTATTGATGGCTAAATCAAGTACTTACCAACCTTGCCAAATTGACAAGTTTTCCAAGTAGTTTGTTCAGTGTGCTACAGAAGTTGGGAGATGCAGCGTACCCTCATCCAATTCTACAATACTTTCACAGCTTCCTTACCGTACACGGCACCCACTAAGCGCCCTACGCCATACGTGTTCATCACGAGATGCACGATGTAATGCGCCTCCGCAGAACCGATTAAAATATTATCAATAACATTCGCACGTGACAAACATACCAATAAACCTGATAATCTGAAACTAAACGTGGCCCGAAGGACTTCTCCAAGGGGGACGGCGTTTCATTCTCTCCCCACATATATTTGACTAGCGGATTCTCTTCCTACTATACCTACTATAGCTACTAAGCCACTTCACTTTACTAGGCTATTGCTAAACCTTTCTGAGCTGGTTTTGTATTTTTTGATGTGTTTGATTTTTTTGTTTTGTGGGTTATGACCGTATTTTATGGTACAAAAAAGGGTAGACGCACCTGACGCACTATTACTTTCAGATGAGCGACGCTATTTACAAGATTCTGAGGGATTTGCATCCGTCTAATTTACGTTATTTTTTCTATATGGTAACACCGAATGAGACCATTCATACGCGTCTGGAGGACATACCGAATTATTTAATTGATCCGGTAAGTAATAAAGATGGGAACTTAACAGCGAAATACACGAGTGCCGGTATAAAGATTGGGACACAACCACACAGATAGGGATCCAGGCAATGACCGCTATGTCTGTTGCCTTTTTATTATTCGTAGCCTCGCAAAATACTGGCGATGTTTCAATGCAGTGAACAATTTCAACCCTTTTATACTAGCCGTTGACCTCTTCTCTCGCTAGCAATCAAAACATTCGCTCAAGGCTCTGAATTATGAATTCAGATCTCAACATGGACGTTCGTGTTGGTTGTCTTGGAGTTTCTGATACTCGACAAGAAGAAGTATGCGTTTAACGATCACGTCACGTCTACAAATTCCGCGATGATTTATATCCTCTTGAAGTGAATTTATTTCCTGAATATTCTCTAGATAACAGGCATACTCGCTAAAACTGACTCTCTGGAGGTGCAGGATCCGCGCTGTACCGCTCTCGAGCTGATTAACCACTGCTCGTCGTAGATGAACGGAAACCCCGTTTTCTATAGGTTTTGAGTATTTCTCATTGTCAGTTAAGCCTCGTGCTAATTGTGGGCATTATTTCGACTATCTCTGTTCAGTGATATCCCGGAGCTAGAGAGAGACATAGCTGTGAGCGTCGATGCCAGAATACTGCTATTTCAGTCAGAGACCCAAGCGGCATGCTCATAGAGGAGCGGGGAAAGTACGGAAGGAAGTTAGTATACCTCTAGCTTTTGTCTGCTCGGATCCAAAACTGTCCCTCGGGACGCAGCCGCTGCGGCGCTTAAAATTATGTCCTGTCCATCTCCGAGACGTTGAGCGTATCTCTCTCGCTAGTGCACACGGTTCTGATAGAGAAATACATATAGTCAGTCAGTGGGGTGGTGTTGGAAGCAACATAAGTAGGCCGCTGCCTCCAGCCCAGGGCACATCATTAGTTGGGTCTTTCGACGGATTCTGCACGACCCCTCCCTTTTTGGTACAGCCCCCACTCCTGGTTCCCTCTTCATCGAGCTATCGACCGGAGGGAGGGAAGACTTCTCTCAGAAGGCCAGAGAATGCGACTCCCCAAACCCAATAGCAAGCAAATACGACCCCCCCCCTTCACGTCTCTGAAGCAAGAAAAATCAACTATCACAAAAATTTTCTCGGCCTAAATACGATCCCCCTTCTAGCGTCCAAATGTGGCTCCACTTGTTGGGCAGTTCTCGATAATGATGTGCCCTGTTCGGCCCTTTCTCTCCAATGATGCTGGGTTATCCATCGGTTTGGGACCGATGAAAGGAAAAAACAGCAACTGGCCTTTGAAAAGAAGAAGCAAAAGCCTTGGCCCTGATTCCCTCCCCCGCCTTTGAAATTGCCCTGACTGATTGCGACAATATCGATAATATGTAGGTGTACTTGTATCTTTCATTGAACAATCAGTTCTTGTTCCTGGCATCGGCCGCGCCACCTCTTTCACATCCATTCACACGCACACCATATACGCGGCACACATACGCTCGCAGACGCACGCGCGCACCCACACATAAACACGAGAAATGTAAATGGAATAAGGACAACACTCACGTCACTTACCTTCGCCTTGGGGCATCCGGCAGATTGCTACAAACCCGGCTATTGGATGCCTCTTGCAACAGAGAAAGGTGTCATCGAAATAGTCATACCACGACTAAATACTGCAGCACTAATTCATTTCTGTTTTTCCTGCAGTGGTTTTGTTCCCACTTCCGTTATAATAACTGATCCATTTGCGGACTTACATACATATGCTCCTTATCCCTGAGACGGAGTAGACGGGGCATTTGGACATGGCACGTGAGGTGTTACTTGTGAGCTATTTCAACTTAAGACAAGTGATCTTATTATACGTTGGACAAAGACATGGCCACAATTGAGTCAATGAAAATATTCGACCAAAAGCACAGTCACCACCACTTTCATTTGAGGTACGCAGCCACGCCCACCTCATCTCAGGGATTTCGAGCAGACATACAAGCATACATACAGTCCTCATCACTGCGGACCAGTGAGGCGTGTCAGTGCGGCTGCGTTTGGCGCGGTGCCAAAGTCGTTTTGCACCAGTTGTTGAAGTGGGCAAGTGACATTACTGTATTATATCCTTCGTATTACTCCTTTTCTACACTTTTTTGTCGCATACGCATCCAAGCAAAAAGGACTGAGAACGGCTTCAACAGTGTGCACACTCATAGTGGCTGACACGCTCCACCGGTCCGCAATGATGAGGAATGTACATACATTGCATACATACCAACAGACCAACAAACCGTCTCAAAAAGTCAGTGTTTTATAGACCAGAGTGATTACTTTCTTCAAGTTCTAATTTAGAATCGGTGGTCGTGACATATCGGCTTGGATCTATCCGATAGTGTACGATCGAATACATATCATAGATCTGCCTAACGATTCGGCGTCAACATGGATACTGTGCTTTTTCACACAAGATTTCATGTTTTACGTCGCTCATCGAGCTATGCATGGTAAGTGTGGAGTAAGGGAAGGTAAAAGTTCGAAAGCAATGCGTTGCATCAGGTGTAGCACTATTAGCTTCGCCAAAGACGACTGGTGGGGTAGTAGGTGGTCTAGTGGGATCGATAATTGCTATGCGACCAAACGTGAACACGTGAATAACACTCAGGGAGTAATTTGTCATAATTGTAACATTCACTTTACAGTAACCCGCCATTTCATTCTAAACAGTCAATGTAATCTGTCATATTGCCGTTTACAGTAAGACGCGAAATTCTCCCAACTATTAGGTTGGCGGGAAAGTTCTGACACTTTTTTCCGAACTTAAATTACTTGCCCATCACCACGTGTGGTAACCGGTGTAAGCTCTTATACGAAAAGGAGTGGTCTCTCTGTTAGTGTCACTCGCTTGCCTCTTGCTCCTTCTTCTGCAATGTGCACAAGGATTTTATCCGCTACCATCAGCCCCGACCCATCCAACAACTTCCTATTTCACCCACCACCCTGACGCCAGCGTGTTAGCTGCAGATGTCAAATTGATGGAGCTGAATAAGCACGATGCCCCCAATCATCGAGCAAAGTTACCACGACAGTGACGCTTCAAGGCGGGAGCTTAGGGAGCCTACAGTTTTGATGACGAAGTGAGGTTTGGGTTACCTGCGACCTCAGCTTGAGGGAGCTATGGGTCGGAAAACTGCTGTATGAAGAAGCTGGTTCCTTGGTCAAGGCGTACGCAAAGCAGCTACGAGGGTATCGTAAATCAGAGGGAAAAATTTGTCAGCACAGCCGTCCCTCACCAAGATAGTGCAGCCTACGAACCTACCTACAACCTGCAACCCCAACCTGGTCTTAAAAAGTTCGAGCCGTACCTCATGCGATGGAACTTGATTTCTCTCCCCCTGCAATTGTGTAGCACAGACATCGCTTCTTCTAATAGCAAGTTGCCTTCCGTAATCGATCGTTATGCGGACGAGAAAACCTCCATAACCCAAGTTCAAGTCGAGGTTGAGATGGTGTCCAACTTTGCGTCGTGTCTCCCTGCATAGTGAAGTAATGGTATCCATGAGGTGCTCAAACACTGGCAAGGATCTCGCACAGTAACAGTGCTGTACAATTTTGATCTTACACTCCCTAGTTTGAAAAAATGTGGCAGAACTTTCCCGCTAACCCAATAGTTTATGGATGGCAAACTCGGAGTGAAGCAGGACATTCTGCTCAGTACCAAGCAAACTACTTTCTGGGACACGGGCGCACCCGGGTATGATGCTCACCATCACTTGAATGCCACCAATTTCTTCCGCGCGGAGAAAACGCGCTTTTCACTTCATTTCTCCAAGTTGCGTGTAGCATGAGAAAGCTAGTCCCAAGTCCGAAAATTATTGAAAGATGCCATCAAATATTAGGTTGTCCCAGAAGTTCTGCGACACTTTCAAACATTTTTTCAATTCAAATTTATTTCATCAACAGGCAATATCAGTCAACAATATATGTACCATCTCCATCGACGACTTATTGCCAACGACTGCGCAGAGAGTGGATGCCTGTTTCCCAGAAGCTCTCCGGTTTCGAGCTGAAAAAGGAGGCTTGGTCGTGTTTGAGGTGTTCCTGAAAATCGTAATTCTTTCCGGCCAGATAGCTGCTGAAGGACCGGAAGAGGTGGTAGTCGGAAGGAGCCAAGTCAGGGCTATAAGGTGGGTGGGGTAGGATTTCCTAGCCAAGCTTCAAGATCTCAAGCTGTGTCATTTTTGGAGCGTGCTGCCTTGCGTTGTCGTGAAGGAGGTATATTTCGTTGAGCCGCGAGCCATATTCTGGAGTTTTTTGGCCAGACTTCGTAGCTGGTTACAGTAAAGCTAACTGGTCTCAGTAGCATTGGGGGGAAGAAGCTCCCAGTGGTACACTCCATAAGCGCCCCACCATACGCAGAGCATGATCTTCTTCGCGGATTGGTCGGACTTCACGACCGGTTCTGCTCTTTCTAGTGGATCTAGCCACTGAAACTTCCGGGTATGATTCACATAGAGACACCACTTCTCACTTTCGGTGACAACATTGTTGAGTCAGTCCGTACGGCGGGAGCGGGTTGTAGGCAGCAGTCGACGCGTTTGTTCCTTTGCTGATCGGTCAACACATGAGGAATTCATTGACCGAGCTTCAATACTTTTCCGAGGGAGTGGAGACCTCGATCGACCGTGTTCCTGGAGCACCCAAGGGTCTCGGCTAGAGTTGTCTCGTATGGATTGGCTTCAATGAGGGATCGCAGCCGATCCAAATCCAACAGAGATGGCCTACCTGACCGAGGTTTGTCTTCCAGATTACAGTCACCTGAGCGAAAATGATCGAACCACTTGCCCACCGTACTATGAGAGACAGCATCAGGACCTAACGCAGAGCAGATGTTCTGTGTAGCTTCACGTGTACTGTGGCCCAGTTGGAACTCGTCAGCAAAACACGACGAATGTGCAACCTTTCATCCGCCATTTTTTCCAACAGGACAGAAGCTACAAGGGTCGGTGAACCGGATCTGGGTAGCTTACATGATCACTCCAACATAGACCAAAAATCTTGATTTCATAATCACTATAAAGGAAATGGCGCGATATTCAAAAAGTGTCCTAGAACTTTTAGGACAACCTAATACTTTGTTTAATGTCCGAACAAACCGGATCAAGTAATCGATTGATTCCGAAGTGTGACCCGCGAAGCTGACCGCTGCCGATAACTTCCGTCAAATCCCGAAAGTTTCTGAACAGTCTATGATGACTTTTCCAAGAGTCTCTGATGCCCCACTGATGCTGGTCGCCAGAAGGATGTCACCCAACTATAAGGAAAACCACTTGAAGTAGCTCAGTCCGTTCTTCGAGAGCACTAGTAAGCTGGCTGTTGAACCACCACTGCACACCATAAGGGGTGCCCACTAAAAGGCTAGCCTCATAAGGGGTATCAACTTAATACTTAGGCGTTCCTACCTCCGGTCACGGAAGACCTACACTACTACTATGCCAAGGTTTCGAAAGATTTCCTTGCCGATTTTTAGGTAGAGCGTTCGCGTACTTTAAATGAAAGTATGAGCAAAGTGTTCGCACAAAACTTTGTTACACTCCCACGCAAGAGTACACTCTACTTCGCTGCGGACGGTTGGGCGTTTCGGCCAGTATGAGTGTGTCATCCCGTCAAAGCTGTTCTCTGCCTTCTTGTTGAAATCCACATGCGACAAAAAGTGGTAGAAAACGAGTAATACGAAGGATATGATATAGTATTGTCACTTACCCACTTCAACAACTGGTGGTGGAGAACGAGTTTGGCACCGCGCCAAACGCAGCCGCACTGACACGCCCAACTGTCCGCAGCGAACTACTCCATAAAATGATCACTACAATTTGCGGTCCGAAGCACAATGAGGGTGCTGAGTTTGCTGGCCTTGGGTGGCACCAATCGGTGGTAGGTTATTGTGTGGTTCTGATTGCTAGCTGCTGGATTTTGCACCTATCATATATTGAGTAGTCTCTTAGTGACTCAGAATCTAGGTGATAGTTAGCTAGACGAAATGGTAAAGGCGAAGGAGGGGAAGCCACGTACCGTGCCTATATGCGGTAACACTCGCGTGATCAGGGTGGTTTTGTCGATGGGACCATCCTCGATGGGGGACCCATGCCATGTGGTTGCTGGCAAGTCTTTCTGGAGTTTCTGGAGCAACAAGCAAACACATCTGAATCAGAGTCGCATTTTGCTGTCTAAACATCACTTAAAGGTAGTTGGCACAATAAATTCCCCAAGACGAGTAGGATTAATAAGCCTGGCAGGACGGGAACTCCGCGACCCTGAGCAGGCGCTGCATAATGTCTTTTCCAAGGGAGATGCCCTTATAAGGGCCCTATCAAGCCACAACATACCGAATCGAAAGCCCACCACAAATGGACGACCGTTGCTGACGCTCGTATTGATTAATTTGCTAAGCAAATTATGAAGCGAAGAGATTGGTATGAAGCGGCCATGATGCTGCATGGATATATGAGTACACATAAGCAGCCGTACCTTCGGTAGAGGTCATAGGCAAGATACCTATTAGAAACTCGTCCAAAATTGATTTCTAATACAGAGGTTAGAGTGGTCCGCGAAGAACAACCCTGTACCGGTTCCGCGGCAAAAAATTCTATATGAGGGGTGCCGTGGCGCAATATAGGTTCAGTGGCTCCTCCTTTTTCCAGTGACTCCGCCTCCAGACCAGGGCACGCCATCTTTGTGATCATCACAACGGGGGGAGTCGTATTTGCCCGCGATGGAGGGGGGAGGTCGTAAACGCAGGACCCATGTTGAAGTGGAGAGAGCTGTGATACATGGTACAAGTGAAAAGAAGCTCAAAAAGGACGATGTTGACGACAATAAATAGAACTAGGCACTATCGACCTATTCCTAGGCCAAGAACTAAAAAAATATTGCTGAAACTTTTTCCTCCTTCCTCACAAAAAACTTCAAGACACTTCGCCCACCAATCCTCCTCATCTGGTCTAGATAAATCCCAATCCACTAATCCGCAAAATCTAGAAAGGATCCATTGCAAAAACTACCTATGAAACCGTAGAAATGGAATCCTGAGCAATTTCCTCACAACAAAATCAATCTCAACAAAATCAATCTTAACAAAAGCAAACAATCAAAATAATTCACAATCAAATGGATGAGAAAAAAAACCCCAGGCCAGCTGGGAACCGGAACTATGGATTACTTTTGAATTTTGGCTGTTCGCGGTCAGCGCGCTCATACAAGCTCATTGGTGCGCGCTATTTTACGGCCTGGAGCCAATTTCAAGCCAAACACGTGGAAAGTACCCCTCATTTGAACACCCATAACTTCGTTGAAACTGAAGCTATCGGGGAGGGGTAAGTGGGAATGAGTAGAGCTAGGTTGGCTCTTGTCACCTGAATTGAGCGATTTCAAAAACGTTCCGATTCCAGAGATTTTCCCCGTTGTGATCGTTGTGAAACGTCTGTGATCAATTTTGCGAACCCCGAGTCGCTACGCTTCGGACATCCATGGCAAGCTTCATACACGGCCTATCGTAAAAAAAGAACTGTGCCGGAAGCTTGAAGATTTCTACTTTCCAGCAAGGCTTTAATTTTCTTCCTAAACCTGCTATTCGAAAAAATTCCCATCTTCGATTATTTCGTGACCACCCCCACGACACGAAAAATTAGCCCATCCGAGGCCATGAAACCTCAAGTCGGCTTGAAGACTTTGGTATGCTTCTAAAACACACGTTTTCGCAAAGGGTATCAGGGAGTAGGTCATGGGCGCCAATTGGCATCACCTCTGCAATGCGCCATGCATGGGGCTTGGAAGGTGTAACTTCTAGATAGGACTTTTCAGTTGCAAGCAAATGTGGTCCTACGATCAGAAAAATCCGGGAATGTACTTTTATCTGTTTATTAATCGTCATGTCGTGAGCCTTTTTGTTTGTTTATAAATTCATGGTTTGTGGGCGGTGATCGTAGCTCCTATCGTCGCTCCTTCCTCGTACGTATTGTCAGTATGCTACACCAGCGCCAGAGTGCTGCACGTGCTTGGGACGTACGTAGGTACTGCGATTTCCCCCCCCGCTCGGCAGCCAAATTTTCAAAATTTTGTAAAAAAAAACCGAAATTTTTTGGGAAAAATAGACAAAGTGCTAGGAGGTTGGAAAATCTAGGGAAGATGTAACATGGGGAGGGGGTCGTACTTGAAGATGGAATCAGGGGGGTCGTATTTTTGAGGAAATGATCACAACGCAATGGCGTGCCCTGCTCCAGACTCCATCCCTAGTGACCGGCTTCCGCAAAAATGAGATTGCAGGATGAAAAAGCATGATAATCGCCACAAGTACGATCGTAGAAATCTTATCGGTGAATCAGCCGTGAATATGAGGGCGTAGTTTTGGAGATAGATTTGATTGGGCACGTACAAACTGGGATCAAAATGGGGTTCCATCTAGGGAAGGTGGCATGTTTTTTGTGCTTTTTTTTGTTCACTGTCGAGTTACTCAACCCCTTGTACTCTATATGGAACCCCCTGATTTGAGATGGCGAGTAATCGCGGGTTCTTCCTTTAAGGAGGGAAGCTCTTTCTTCTCAGGATTTTGACCGTTCACTCCGTTCTTTCGCCATCTCCCCACTACACAGCGTCCTACCAACGTTTTAGGCCGAGCACCAAATCATGGTGCCAACTGCCTTTCAGTCTTATTAGCACCTTCCGTAGTTATGAAACCCGTTCGTGAGAAATTTCGTACAGATTTCAAATCTCCCCTTTCATGAGGTGGACAGGGACCACATTTCAGAAGAAAAGTTCAATCCTTACAATGAGAACGCTCTTTGTCTTGTTACACTCATGTGTAACGTGCATTATGCATTCATTCAAAAAGATTACCATTTCAGAAGGTTAGCGTGTTCTGGTGGTTTCATAAAATGCCACCATTCTCCGAGAATCTCAGCACTGGTTTACGATTACCAGCACTTCAGGTTCCTTGTTGTAATAATTTCGAAAAAATTGTTTGTACTGTCGTCCCATGAGTGTTGTGAACAAAAAGGCAACTAGGTTATAAAAAGCTACAGTACTTAGCAGAGCGAGGAAAGAGCGGGGAGACTCCCTCAGGAACTAGCAACTGTTTTTTTTGCCTGATTCTGGACTTCCAACGTTAGCTGATTCATCACACCTTTCGGGTGACAGTGGATTGTACCTTGCAAACTATATGAGAGTCAGGAACCATGTCATTTAAGAGAGTTCTAGACTTTGGAACCGTGTCCTGCACAGCAGACTAAGGCGGTAATGTTCTGAAGGGGTGACATTCGAAACAAAAACTTCTTCCCTCGAGTGCAGTACTGAAATTTTATGGATTATGGAGTATTTTGAAGTGATAACAATCTAAAATTATAAGCTGTTACCAATATGGGTGACTGTGAAAAATCAGATCCCAGTATGACTCAATTTTTCACTGATTTTCTTAGAAAGTTGTTCTTGACTCATTTCTGAAATACTTGAGGGAGATCTAAAAACCAAAACTGATCCCGATCTTGGAGTGCAAGTAAGAGTGAATAGCGGAGAAATCAGCATCAATGAAGCAAAAGGGCTTCTCAAGGGCAGTGAACACAATGGTTGGAAGCAAACGGTTGCTCCCAGGGTCAGTGTTGGAAAGGCTGAGTGTGTTGTGGCAAAACGCTCTCTTATAGCCCTTTAAACAGTGAAGTTGACGGTAACCGTCCGCCCCCAGCCATCGTGCCTACCGCCCTCGAACAAGCCTTTTGATTTTGATTACTTTCTCACTATCAGAATGCTGATACAAGTTCATTTAAGGATGTCGGCCAAATGCTTCCTGAACTGTTGCAAGCTTTCTTCATTCCTCCCAACATATACATAGTTCATCGCGCTCTGAACCTTACATATCAGTTCTGGCTTCATACAACTGTGAGTTCAATATTGTAACACATTTTTTCGCTTTTGTTATGGTCTGACCTCCGCTTTGATATAATCCGATTTTGTAATGATGCCATGGGGCAAATTGCTGTGCTGTGGATGAGCGGTTCTATCGTACGTCCTTTCACGCCCCTCATGTCGCGAATGGGCGGCAATTTCAGCGATCCTTCGTGTTACTTTATATCCTTCAGCAATATTGATTATCCCTACTAATATAATTGGCTATGTCCGTTTGTGTGTATGTGTGTGTGTGTGTGTGTGTGCGTCTGCCTGTTTGTCACGAAATTCATAGCACCTGAAGAAGAGCTTGGCGGGGTTGGGTCAGGGTGGGGATGGATAGAGCATGGGACAAAACCTATGTAGCACTCATGACCCATGGTAAGCCCCTCCCACAGTGGGCGAGGCGTGCGTCAAAATTTGCGATTTCACTGAAAAAGGTCATAACTCGCTTCCAGAGGTGTCAAACAGTGCAGTAGAGTTAACAAAGGCCTGACCGACCGAACAGAAGAGACACACTCGGAATGGGCAGGGCGTACTTGAGATGGGCGGCGCTTCCCGTGTCACTGAAAAATAGCTATAACTTGGCTACAAAGCAGCCCGGAGACGGGAAAAACTGGGATAAGGTTAGCATGGGGTTGGCAGAGCAAATGGAGGAGACACATCCGAAATGGGCGGGGCGTACTCGAGATGGGGGCGCTTCCCACAAAGGTCGGTAATTCGGTCCCCGGAAAGGTTTAGGGGTCGCAGAAAAGTCCATGATGAAGAGTAACGTCTGGCAGCAGTCCACCATGTTTACGGCGTGGTGAGGCCCGCCTACAGTGGGCGGAGCGTGCATTTGAGCACGAGGAACGGTACAAAAAGTCGTAGTTTGGTCCCAAAGCACTGCAGAAGGTGCCAAAATGTGGGTTATGGTCCCCAAGTGATTAAAGGTAAGGATGTACGAGGCAGTCCCGTTGTGGGCGGGGCGTGCCCCGAGGTGGGTGGAGCCAAATTTAAAAAATTCGCAAAACGGTTCCAGGGCACTCCACGCACCGGGAAAATGTAGTATAGGATCAGCGAGGGGTTATTAGTTGAGAAACGCGGGGCATACGTTGTGGGCGGAGTGTGCGTTGAGGAAAGTGGAGCCAGTGTTAGAAACTTCTCAAGCGGTTTCAGAGCACACCAGGCCCTCCAGACCTCCTCTGTGATACAGCCCGGCCTTTCGGGCGTGGCTCCGTCGCGCCTACTACATTCGTAGGTCAAATGCTGGGCCTATACTCGGCTTTCCTCTCATCTCTCCACTTGATCAACGCTCCTTTCCACAATTTCATGCTCCGTAAATGTGTTGAAAATAGCAGGTATGGTGCTATTGGTGAAATAATGTTGATCATCCGGTCAGATGAAAGAAAAGCCGGAGACTAGGCAGGTACTGAAATGTGTGAAAAAAGGTAAGCGCGGCGGAGCCGCGCCTGCCCGACGAAGCCGTGCTGTATCACAGAAAGAGGCGCGCCGGCGTCAGCCGGCAAAGCCGGCTAGTGATATCATAAGCTACATGGTACCTATTCTAAATCATGAATTCGATGGAGCTGTGGGACAAGACCACTCTTACGCAGCGGTCGCCAACCACGCTTACCTACGCGGCGATCCAGCAGCGTCCCCCGATCGAATCGCCACATACCTGCTTTTGTGCTGCACTCGTTTTTACTTTTTAGAGCTCGCGAAGCCACTTGCTTGACTTTTTCACACTACTCGAGTTGAATAAGAACTTAAAGTCATAAAGCTCGGAGAAGATGTCTACAAGCGTGATATTATAGATGGATAACATTGAGAATGAAGTGAAGCGAATGGACATACATAATTTCTACAATTTCACTGTAGGAACCACCCAAAGTCAGCTTGTGAACAACAGACATGCGAGATCTCTTACAAGTAAGGGAGGGTGCGGTTAAGAACCGCAGAGGATGTGCGCTTTTGTGGATTGAAAGTCTCTGACATAAACTCTGCCCCGACTGTCGATCTGCACCTAAATGCTGTTTCGTGATACGGTTTCGCTCGCTCCCGGTATAGCATCCCATGGGAAGGGTGTTCCTCAAAATTTTGTCAGTGTTTATGAGAGTGCCTGTTATACTTTTTGGAATGAACTTGTGATTTTTCCACTTCCTGAGACTATTGTTTGAGTGGTGATTTCAGAATATTGATTTTGTTCCAATTTTCCAGTAACATAGTTTGATATTTTCTAAACTCTCTTTTTAGATAGTACCTTACCTCGGTCCTATTGAATACTTTTTATGCACTCCGTCCAGCCACCGAGTTCACCATGGCAGGAATCCTTACTGTATCGACAGGAACTATGGCACCACCTTAATTATTTGGGACAGGTGAGGTGGTTTTTACACTTTGATTGCTTTATTCCATGAGCAAGGCATCGTGTGGATGTAGAAAATGAACCAGATTTCCCAGCGAACATAACAACCTGATACAAACAAGAAACACCATGTAATATTATAATAAGAGTATGTATAAAAATCAATAAAGGAAAATAAAACGAGGTGAGAACCAAGTAAACTGAGTAGCAAGAGACAAATGTGCTGGTTAATAAATTAGGAGCTGGATCATAAGCTGTTTGAAACAAGCCAATATTTTGGAGATACCGCAGCGGCTAATGATTTTGTTATAGGGTGAGCCTGCACCGTGGCAAAAGTAATGAATTCTTATTCTTGGATAGGTACTGCTCTCTGGAGGCATTGTTTTTATGAAGCTCCTGTGCAATGGAAAACTATATAGGCATCTCTTACACATTCTACCTTGAAAGGACACTCCAGAAAAAACTGATATGAGAGGTGGACTCCAAATATGAATCCGTATTCGAGTTTATCTCAGCCGAGGAAAAGCAAAAAAAAACATCGATACACCCGAGTTGCGTTTCGCACTTGATCGCAGTTTTTACAGTTTGCGGTGAAAAGCCTCAGCGCGCAAATCATGAAACAGACAATGAAGGGCAAAAGTATCCACACAAGAGTGTGACTGCTATCGCCCCCAAGACCCTTGTCTGAGCCTGTAATCCTTAAGAGGCGTGCGCTATCACTGTGTGCAAAGGAGAAGGGTGGGGTAAATAGCACATGTAAAACAGGGAAAGCCGCGAGACAATATGGCTTCCGTCTACCAACTCTCCGAATTTCCCCAACTTCCTGCCACTTTTTCCAAGGTTCCTGAAAACTTGCCTACTTTTTCCTATATATAGTACGCATGAAACAGGAAAATCGTGAAAGTTAACCACCACTCCCACCACACCTAAAAAGGCCAGGAAGTGAGTGCCTCCCCCCCCCCTTTACAACGTCCATGAAGCGAGAAAATCAACTATGAAAATAGAATCCCCAACAGGGGGGTCGCATTTTGTCGCCAGGAGAGGGGGTCAGCCGAAACACGACCCCCTGTAAAATACGACCCCCTGTTGGGGATTCCCCAACAACTATGTGCCCTTACCCCTGCCTTCAGGCATTTGTCCTGATGGGACTAGGCAGGATTGTACTTCGAAGAAACAAAAACATCTTCTCTTACAGAATTTTTGGCACTTATGAACCGGAACGAAAAGGCGAAGAAATAGAATATGGACTGGTGAAGCCAGTAAACACATTCGATCAGCTGAATCAGGTTCGCAGCAGATTGGTCGAGTTTCTATGACTAAACAGATCAGTAGTAATCGAGCATTTTCAGTTCTCTGAGCTCAAGGCTATGACTTATGATAAAGGTCAGTTGAGGAACGAAAAAAATGAAGAATTGTTCCCGGGTGTGTGGAACAAGGTGAGGATTCTGCTTTTAAAGTGGAACAGTTCTGATTTCTCTGTTGCGGGAAATGCTGGATAATGAATCGCCAGTGGAATTGTAGGTTAAAGCCGCTTTCTTGCCGCCGGCTTACGTTCCAGGGATGCGAACGAAATGGTTCTTCCTTTGGTTATGTCTGGAAGATAACACTGACGGAATACCTGAGGTGAAATCTTTCTACACCGATGCCGTACAATTATCAGAGGGCCTGAATGAACTGCATCTATCAGGCTTAAGTTTTACTATGACTCGGTTCATTTTGTATTGCAGATCAAGCGCCCAGTTATCCGCTATAATCCGTCACTATCAGGCGCTCTTCATTACTATCTACTCGGGCAGTGGGTCCTTCTCTTGTACTACTTTGTGCACTTCCTAGAGGTCCGTTTGCACCTCGGCTGGCCCGAATTTCTCTGCCGATTCAGCTTTATCATCGCCTTCATTCAAATGTTTGGCTACTATTTCGATCACAAGTTGGTTCTTGGTTATAGTATCTAGGCAAGAGGGCTACTAAACGTGATTCTTGTGGTTTCAAACGAAGTGAATTCTAGTCGCTCCGCTCTGCAGTTTGACCTGGTGCGGCTGATGACGTCGCTATTGTTTGGAGTGTTCCTGGGCGACTGGCTGATGACCGTCTATGGTTTCGTTTCGTTGGTGATTGCCTTGTGGCTCTTTATTGCCGGGAAAATATGTACATCGTGCAGGCACAATAAGCTAAAATGTTCTTGAGAGCGTATTTGGCATATGGAAAGTACATATTGTAGTATAAGCAAATTCATACGAATAAACTTACGAGTTAGAATATTGATTACTGATTTACAAACAGAAACGACAAGGTGCTGAGATAGCGGATCTACTAATACCACAAGATCTGACAGCGAGGGAGGGAAACCTTAAAGCAGGGCAAAGTTTGGGAATGGGAAGAGCAGCGATAGTCAGATGTTGCACAATCACGAAGAAATTTACTCTTGGTTCTTGCTCTGGAAAGCACCTGAAGAAACACCTGAAGGCAGATGCAAGCTACAAGCCCAGAAGTGAGGCACGGGCGGTGCTAAGACAATGACCGTCCACAATGTCATTCCCTGAGCGAGCTGTACAGATTATACGCTCTGGTACTTCTGAGCCGTAGAAGCACATTTAGACCTTTCCAGTACCTCTGCGTGGGAATCGAACGTATGGAGCAATATTGCGGCGTTGTCAAACTGCGCCGAAGGAGCTACTTCCCAGTAACTTTGACGAAAAAAATGTGTAAAAAGCTTATCCAAGTCTTCGAATAAAATGGAGGTGGGTACTGAAGACGTAGGTGTGATTTTACGGTGGTCTGAAACATGTCACAAGGAGATCATAATGGGGGATTTTTTTAACCAGTGAGCATGCTCAGAATGGCACAGATTGTCACTAGACCTAAACTTCTTGAACCCTGCTTTTTTCCTCTTAGGAGTTGCCCTCAAGAAAGTTTGATATTCAAAAAAAGGATACTTCTGAAGTTCCTGGCCTATTTTGCAACATACCGCAAAGAACTTGCTCTATATCCTATTTAGAGCTGTCCGAAAACCCTCTCCTTCCTGAGCTTACTTAAGAAAAATCCATAGAGAGCGTAGCGCGGAGCCGAACACATTGGCAGCTAAGGCGACTTTTCACGTGTCTGCCGCGTGGGACGCAGTTTTTCCTATTCCCGAAGATGCGCGTAAATGCTGGGATGCTTGTTCCAAAACAATCGAAGAAGTAACGAGAACCAATGCAGAAGCTAGTACATCTCGCTGTTTTTGTTTACTTCTAGAATAGACCACAAATCTTTATGAAATACTCCACTTCTTTCTCACGTGAGCGTGGGAGCAAGCTCGCAAAAAGGAGTATTTTTGCTCACAGTGGTCGTAAATTGCCTTCGATCTAGATTTCCTTATGTCGGAAGTTACCTTATCACATCAACTATGTGCAGATGAAGCCTCCGTTTTATACAGCCAAAAAGTACTTCCCCCCCCCACGGAAATCACTCCCGTTTATTTCCTCGATAAATACAATGACACAACTGCATGGTTTACAGCTACCATACATTCTACATGACCTTCCCGGACAATATGTGGCTATTGAAAACTTGAAACATATTCAGAATAGTTTTTTTTCCGTGCCGCAACCCAGCATTGGGACGCAATGTCGCCCATGTGTCAATCAACGCACAGATGAACTGTTTTCCGATAACTGCGACTGATCAATGTTTCGTAGAATTTAAACTCTTCAAACAAACTGGAGCTGTACTGTCGCACGAAGCTGTCCACAACAAATGCACAACAAGGAATTTTCTCACCCAATGGACATCCCAAAAGATCAAGGATTTTTGGAAAGAGAAAGTTCTCTAGATTCTGGCACTGTTTTACTTCCAAAAAAAGTCCCATATAAAGAAAGTATGGCTGTTAAGCATTAAAACTTGCGGATGACACTAAATTCCAACAACGACGTTCCAGTGGTGATGATCCTAAGGAAGGAGGTTGTAAGGGCATTGAAAAAAACTTGATGGCCGTTGGCTCCTCATTGGCAGGACCAACACCAATAGGATGGTCACATTTTAGTCGGGGGGGGGAGGGGGGAAGCGAAGGGGTCTCAGTAGTGTTTCCACCGCTCGACCACAGCTTCTTTTGGTCAGGACTATGATAAGAGTCCAGGCGCGCTACCGAGCCTGAAGCCTCACACATCTTCTGTGGGATTAGCACCTCAACTGGAGCTCCATCAAATTGGATATTTCGTTATATTGCAGCTGATCAGCAACCTTGATGAATTAGGCTATGGTGAGATTGCTAAGTGCGGGAGTCTACCTGTTGTCTCGCACACATCCTCTGAACTGAAGTTCAGACGATCAACAGAACCGAGCTCGGCATCGAGGTTGTTCTCAGGTTAGGTGAGGCACGATACGAGGCGTTTGCAGCGGCAGGGGAGTAGAGATTATGTAGTCGTAAGAGACGCGCAATCGATGTGCGTGAGACGCGCAATCGATGTGTTTTGTACCCTCTGGCTCTCCCATAGTCTCTACTCCCCTGCCGCTGCAAACGCTAACAAAACACTGGTGAAACGCTGGAGAAACGCTAGCGTAACGCTAGCCTACGCTAGCGTTACGCCGCCCTCTCCCCGGCACTGCCGCTGGCGTGCGCTGAAAGCGCTACGCCACGCTGCCGCAAAGTATAAACGCAGCCTTACTTGACTATATACAGATATTTCATCGAAAACTCCACACATAAACAGGATAAATAACTGAAATTAAAAAAAAACTAAGTAGCTACAGTAGCAACGTGGTCACGTCATTACAGGTGACAGCGATACCGGATTGGCGTTTGTGTAAGGATAGCGGCTTTAAAATTCTGCACCGCCTCTTCCAGCAAGTATCTTCTCTTCAACTAAAGAGTTGTGCTCGACAGAACCATCGATCGATAATATCTGAAAATTCAAAACAGTACAAATTCACTATCTTAGGCCTTCCTGAACGAACGAAGGGAGCAACGATTGATTGAAAACATTGAGAATAGTGATTCGTCGGAACTCTACTTTTCAGCGTTAACTAAGCGTTGACTGATAGTGGTGTCGTGGGTCAAAGGAGGGGGACCGCCAATGAAGAGGCGGGCACAGTAGCCGGGAGAGGTCAAAGTGGACCACCCATGGAAAGGGGCAGAGAATGCTACGAACTTGTTTTTGACTACCTATGATCTGGCGGGCCTGGCGGGAGAGACCAGGCAGGAGTTCCATGAGGTTACTTTACTTTCAGATTCGACTCCAGTAATCGTCGGCGGTGGCCCTCTCCTTGACCCCGCTGCGCCCTCCTCCACATACCTCGTCTTATTCACTGTTTTCGTTTCGCGTTCATGTTGCTCATTTAGTTGCTAATAAACTATTTTTTTGTGATTGTTTCCACCGTTGACCTTGTACTTACACCTTGCACTATCAAATCCGGGGGCAATCATAACCCCACATGGGGCCGAACCGAGCAAGGTCTGAGCAAGCAAGAGTCATACCGGTGATTGAAGCAATTGCACGGTGTGTGGTGAGCTGTGACTCGTGAGACAGGGCGAGCCAAAGCTAGTCAAGGATTGGCCTACAGATCGCTGGCTAGAGTGGAGCCAAGGTTCGGGTCAGTGCCAAGTGAGGAAGGGATATTCGATAGGTCAACTGTGCGCCGGGCGCGATTGGACTATCGAACGTACAGAGAGTAAGGAGGTAGCTACTGTACGTGGTCAGAGTTGAGTAGAAGCGGATAATAAGATCGTGATATCGGTTGTATTCGGCACATCTAGTACACGATTTTTCGTGGTGACTAGAAGTGTTCAAGCGACTAAGTCTTCAGTTTGTAGTTAGTCATCACGGTGATGGATAACGAGGTCAATATGGATGGCGAGATCGAGGAGCAAGACTCAAGGCCATCGGTGAGTGCAGATAGTTGTACATTCCCATTTGAGCAAATAGTCAAAGAGTTGAAAGAGATAAGTTTTCTCGTGGAGCAATTCCCTGGGATCGTGGCTGATGAGATGAGAGATCATAAAGTGTCCGCTCGTTATAAGGACAGGCATATGGAAGTGCTTAGGAGAGAGGTGGAGAAAGTTCATAATAAGCTAGAACTATTAGCAAATAGCTGCAGGAGAACAAAATTGATTCGTGGGAAAATTTGTGAAGTACTGGATCTGAGAGGGATCGAGTCAGAGGATGAGTGGCATGAATACATAAGCACTATGGAAAAAGATGGTGACATTTTGGCAACAATATGCAGTGTGTTGAACTCAAATACGTTACAGGTTGCGAACGTGGTCAAGGACCTCAGGTCGAAGGCTATGAAAGAAGATGTCGTCCGATTTGGAAATGGAAGTGAAGGACGTAGTGAGTTTGCCAATATCAACAGCAGTAGGCCATTCGATTCGGACAGAGATCATGGGCTATCGCAGGCACCAGCGACCCAGTGGACTGGAGCACGCTGCGAGCCCAGATGGAACCCCTGTGTGGAGAGCTCCTCATCGGAAACAAGAGAGACACAAGGTCAGAGCTTGACTATGGATATGCTCAATTATTTCCAATCTTTGTCTTGTGTCGATCCTGGGGTATACAAAGAGAAAGCTAATGAGAACTACTCAGAGTTCATTCGAAGGTTTCGTAGGAAGTACCAAAGGGTTGTGATGAGTGACCATACCCTATCGAGATTCTTGGGGATGATCACTTAGGCGGTAGAGCCAAGTCCATGTTTCTTTCGCTGCCAGTGGATATACGAAACAGAGGTTTCGAAGCAGTTGTGGCTGAGCTAGGAAACTTGCTAGCGGAAGATACCGTGGCCGGTAGGATGCGAGCTATCTCTGAGCTGCGCGAGTTGAGAATTCGCCCTCAACAGGATGTCGCTGATTTTTGCGTGGCCCTAGAAAAGTTAGGAAGGAAGGCTAACCCTCGCGGTAGTATTGAGGACAGTTCACTAGAGTTTGCACATATCCTCTTGTCTAACCTGAGAGACTGGCCGGAACATGTGCAGCTATTGAGTGCGCTTCATAGAACGGAGCCGGAGAAAGCCTATGAAGAGGTGAAGCAATTGGCCCTTTCCATCGAGCAATCTAAGCGGATGTTCGGAGAATCACACGGAAAGCAAGACGGGTACAGCGACTGGAAGTCGAGAGCGAAGTCGTACAAGGGATGCAATGGTCTCGACAGAGTCAATGCGACAGTTAGGAAGGAAACGGTTGCAAGACGAGAGGAGGACGACAGACAAGCCG